ACTTCAGTGTGAGTGCTCCACTGACTGAGAACCCTTTGACTTATGCCGTGAGTTCTTCTTCTCCTCTATGGTGCGGCTTCTCACGATTTCTCTTTTCCATAATATCGCGAAGCTCTCTTTGTGGCCGTGTATTCAATGTGGCCTCGCTCTCGAAATTGTGTTCTCAAATTATGAAAGCTCGATTAAGGAGCATAATCACATATTTATATCGCAACCCTAGGTTAATTGGTCGGGCTTTCAAGACCTAATAGGCTTTGGCTTAGGCTTCATCCTTTAATTTTCATTTAATTCCAAATTGGTTGAATTAATTTGGGCTTTTCTTTAATTAAGCTTAATGGGTTGATTTAAGCTCAAATTAATATAATCAAGGCCTTTTGGACTCATGATCTTCGGCCCCCGTCTTCCGAGTGAGACGAGCTTTGTTCGGTACTCGAGCTCGATTTATGCGATGGATTTTCAGCTTACTCACCGCCACCGGTCCAATGTAGAATGCAATTAAACTATATGATCCTAAACTATATGCTGTGCGATTTTGATATTTTATTTTAGGGGTTAAAATTTAATCTCTAATTTTCTATGCAATTAATCACTAAATGATGTGCCAAAATTTAGGTGTCAACAATGACTTTTATGGTAAAATCTGAACTTCTCATTTCTGAGTCTAAACTTTTAGTTCTGAGAACTTATAAAGTCTGATATTTCCTTATGAACTTCCAGAATATAAACCTGGAATGGAATACATGTCAGAATTACAAGATAAACATAGAAAGTTTTGTCAACTTTAAAATTCATTAGGAGTTTTCCTCAACAAAAAGAATAGGTCTAAAGATTCTAGAGCTGGAGCCGAGATGACAGCCAAATGGGCTTTGTTCTTTTGATAGTTGCACACCTTAAAACCCAAGTACTCTACCGCTGAGTTAGCAACTTGAAAGGAAAATTTGTTGGAATTAGTGAAACTCATCAACATTGTGCTTGGATCCTTTCCTTACCAAAAAAAAAAAACATTGTGCTTGGATCCTTACCAAAAAAAAAAAAACATTGTGCTTGGTTCGACAAAAAAAAAAAAAACTTTGTGCCTGGAGCTAATATTACAGGCCAATGATCAAGATGTCTAGAAGGTCACTCCATGCTTGTCGGGTGAAAAGCCCAATGCAATTTGATGGACCTAAATAAGCCCAAAGACTTATCAATCCACATCCTTAATCAAGTTATCATCTTCATCATTTTTCCACACCCTTTTCTATCGCATTGAATGAAATCTTTTGGGAACTCTCTATTCCAGTTCATCCTTAGGAACCATATCACATCTGGGATCTGATGAAATATGATGACTTGAGACCGTATACTGTAAATACATAATTTTCTTGAATAGATCAACTATTTGTTTATTTTCCGATCGGTTTGAGTTCCAAATCACAGTATTACAATTCTCATCATCCTAATAAACTATCTCATTGTTTGTAGGACTAGATAGTGTGACTTTGCATATAGAACACAGAAAAAGGGAAGATGAACTCTAATAGGATAATACCCTCGAACGTGTAAATTAACAATACAAAATCATGAAATAAGAATGTTCCTCACATGTTGAGAATGATCAATGTGGTCGGATACATGAATGTGAGTCAAATATCAGGCAAATGTAGCTTGAATAGAATAAGCTCTAATGTCCTATACTGATGACTAAATTCACCATTTGCTGATAGAAATAGACGGTACATGAAAACTCATAGGTCAAGGCTTTCACTGAAAAATGATGATCACCTTAAAACTTATAATTTCCATTTTTGTACAAGAGAAGAAAAAACTTAAGTCTAGACTAAGACCCTCTTGACATGAAAACCGCTCGATTTGAATTCCTACTATAGATGAAGAACACTTTACAGAGAGATTCCAATCGAAAAGATGTGTGATGGGTCCCCTTGGCTGTTTATTACGTGTGGAATTTGCTTAATCGCTTTGTTTCATTGAACAAAGCATAAAGTCTGATGTGAGCTAAACGTGAAAAACATCATCTAAGAGGAGCTATCGTCATGATTCGCCCTAAACAGATGCCGCAATGTTGATTAGTGCCCAATCTTGTGGACTAAATGGGGCTTGGTTGAACTTTTCTAGCGAGAGTTAATGCCCAAAAGAGGAAAGTTGGAAAAGTCAGCAGGACACATGTAACACAAGCTCTCGTTTCCATCTTCAGTGCAAAGACCGATAGGATCTTCATGGAACCGTAAAAAAATAAAATAAAAGGTCACAAAAGTTCATAATACGAGTTCACAAGATTGGGCTAAAAGTATAATTGGACAAACATATTTGGTTGTTGGTATCAGTGATCTTCTTAACATCCATAATGTATTGCTCTCGTAATCAGATGAGGTTTTATGTTAAATTCCATGTAAAAAAGTTTGTGGAGGCAGTTTCGTGTAAATGAAACCTAATTGAAGATTGCCTGGACAGGTGGATTAGTTGAGGAGCCGAAAAACCGGTCTAGATAGAATCGGGAAACGTTTTTGTAATACGTCACAAAGAAATCTTGAGATTATGGCCAACTAGGTAATATCCAAATTTGAGTTTATACATAGTGTTGACACCTAAATTTTGACTACCCACTTAATCATTTATCACATAGAAAATTAGGGATCGATTTTGATCCCTAATATGATGTCGACCATGAGAACATTGCTCGAAGGACAGCATAATGATATGGCTAATTACATCGTGAGCCACATGCCGGATGTGATCAATTCAATAGTCATCAATGCTACGAATGATGCTTTGTCGAGGCCAAATTTGTCCAATCAACTACCAACATTCCAAGCAAATCCAATGGTATTATGGTATGTTCCTAATTCCTTTGCTTCCAATAATAAAACAATGTTGGTCAAAATAATTTAGTCGGTAATAACAAATCAGCAAACCATATTGGTCGAAAAATCGGTTAAATGTTAGAAGTTGAAAATGTCAGGCCAGGCGGCCATTATAACAACACCAAATGGCAACATCCCTATTAGGCCTAACTTATTGATCAATGTCAATATAAATAATCCAGCAAGGCCAACATAACTGCCTAGGGGGCAAGATGGCCAGCCAAATCCTCAATTAAATCTAGCACAATTTGCCGAAGAGATTTGATGAGAATTGAGTTTAAATGGGGGAATTGTTAGGCCTATTTACAGGAAACCTTATCGTAAATGGGTTGATAATCAACCTTTGCCTAGAGTTTATAAAACTCCCGATTTTGCCATCTTCACTGGTGAAGATGAACAGTTGACCATTGAGTTGACCATTGAACATATCAGTCGATTTTTAGCACAATGTGGACATGTAAGAATGAATGAATTTTTAAGACTTGGGTTATTTCCTTTGTCTTTGTCAAAAACTTATTTCACTTGGTAAACTAATTTGCCACCTAATTGATGTATAACTGCACGGAGATGGAAAGACAATTCCATTCTTAATTTTATATCGATTGTTGGTTTGGCCAAACTTTACCAATATAATATTGAGTGGGCTACTTAGTTTATTCCTCGATTTAAGAAGGTTAAGAACAGATGCCTCACTTCACTCTCTAAAAAAGAATTTACAAATTTGGCCTCTAATGGATTGAATTTAATTTAGGAAAAGGATTTGAAGGCCAAGACTTTGTTAATTTTTTTCAATTGGCAACGAGAGTATCCAACATCTTACCAAAAAAAAAAAAACGAGAGTGTCCAAGTATGAGCAGTTTCCTAAAGACAGAGATAAAGGTTCACATGAAGATTTTATACGAAACATGGCTTCAGTGGAAAGATATGAGTTAGACGATAAATCTGGCCAAGATGAAATTCGGCAAGGAAAAATCATATTTGCCGATGACAAGGGGGCATATGATGACTCTTGATTATCTCATTTAATAGAATCGAATGATCAATGATTCGTTCCATTCTTCTAGAAGGGGCCATATGTTGACACCCAAAAATGTCAAAGTGTTCGGTTGACAACTTGGAGGCAGCCAACAAGGAAGTGAAGGCAACATAACCGTTAAGCAGTGGAATCAACAATCTCAGATGCAACTGTTAAGGTAATTGAGTCGAGTCGATGTAATTGTCATGTAACCACCAGTGTTGTAGAGTCAATATAACCATCGAGTAACCGTTAATGTAGTGGAGTCAAGTAGCTGTCGGTGTAGTAGAGTTGATGTAAGAGTCCAGTAACTACCGATAGTGGAGTTTATCTAACCGTCAGTGAATTGGAGTCGATATAATTGTCTGTGTAATTGGCGCTTGTGGGCTATAAATACCCCAAGTGTATCTTTGTAATTGACCCCCAATCGATCCAAGAACTTAACATTCTTTTGCAAATTTATCTTTATCTTTACTTATCTGCAATTTACATGGCTGGCCGCGATTACCTCCAATCTCAATATTTTTTTTTTATTATTATTTACTAACCTGTCCAAAATCAATAGATCCAATCGTAACCTTTGTCGATTCATTCATCAATCAATCTACATTTTGAAAGGCTTTCCATCGGTAACTTTTCAGTGAAATAGCGGTAATATCCGCACATAAAGTACTTTCTCTGGGTAAAAAATAGCTATAGCAAAGAAATTCTTATAAATTCACGTTGATTAAAATTGTTGCGTAAGAACTCGTACTCTTTCACCAACATAATATCACGAGTGAGAACACCAAACGAAAAACAGGGGAAATATTACTCTAAAATCAAGCATTGAACTTAAAACAACGACGTACCGATATACCATATCTGTAATTCTATTTGCTAGAAACCATATCTCTGATTCTACAACAATTACCATATAAATTAAGTAAATTAGCCCGGAAGTAAGTCTATGTAGAACTACTAACGTCTCAGTAAATGAGATATGAACATACGTAAAATCTCGTCAAAAAATATGCTCGAAACCACCGCAAACCTCCAATCCCTCAAACGAGATCTTCACTTGTATATCTCTAGATGTGTTGATCGGCGTTCTCGGATTATTACAGAGTCTCCGATCTTGCATATCAAAGCCTTAACGACAAATTGAGCTGGCTAAAATCCTCCTGGAGATCACCTTCATCATCAGATACATCGATGCACCCTTGAGACCCAGATGAACCATACTTCAGATGAATCCCAACATACCTCGTATCGTCCCCAGCAAGCCTGACCAAGCGTGACCGATTCTCAAAAACCACGGATTGAAGAGATGACCGTACTGGATGACCACTCGAGGTCGCCGCATGAGGTTTCACGGCAGAGCACAAGTCCCTGCTCTTCTTGGCTAGGGTTCGCTCGAGCTTGTGTGCATTCTGGTGACCCCCGAGAGCCTGCGAGCTGGAAAACTTCTTTTGGCAGAAGTTGCATGAGTAAAGCTTGCCGTCCTTTGCGGGAATAGCAAGAGTCTGGATTGATGGGGGCGATGATGATGAGGATGATGAACATGGCTCAAGTCCGAGCTCTAGGTTGAGCTGGTTGCCATCATTTGCTGAGCTCTGATGCCATGGATTGCTTTTTCTTATCTTCGGTCGGGACTGATGCCGTGGATCGGACTGATGTTCCATTGGTTGAGATAGAGAGAGAAGTAGATATATGAAGTGAAATGATGACTGTTGTTGCAAGCAACCCAAAGCACATGGAAGGAGCGAGCAAGATGAAAGAAATAGACAGGATATATAGGTAAGTGGTCCTGGCTCCACTAGGGATTGGGATAGAGAATCTCTTATTTTTTTTGCGCAAGAGAAATTTAAACACGTGAAAAAGCTTCCATAAAAAAAAACTTTGCAGTATTGCATAGACTCGTTATACTAGATCAAATGGATCGCAAGAATTTATGAGATCTACTAACATTACGATTTCTATATCGTGATTGGTTATGTCTATCGTATCATTCACAAAATAAGTTTAGATGATAATTTTTGTCCGAAAAATTATATCCTAATCATGGGTAGCAAGTTTTAATTAGTGAAATAAATGAGATGAAGTTACTTTGTTTATAGGAGCCTTGTTTAAAAAAAAATCAATCAAATATTGCCATGTAAATTGCACGTCATCTCTAGCATTTTGAGGCTAGATGTTAATAAAATTTTAATATTTCTACATGTCACCCTTTTAAAAAGGATGATGATTTAGGGTGATATTGGATACTTTTTGTTTTTCACGATTCGAGAAATACACGATTGCCTATTATTTCTTTCACTTTAGAGATTCTTACTCTACACAGCTAGCTAGCAAGCAAGCAAATGTAGCTTAAAATGAATTCCTATGTTAAGAAGTAGCCTAAAATCTTAATTATTTACATGGACCATCTGACACAACTTTCGGGACAATAACACATGTGGTTTCCAGTTGGTCGATGAAAGTGATACCGTTCAAATCTATCTCTCTCTTGCTTTGTCGTCGTCGAGGAGTAGGTGGCTTTGATGGGCAGCAGACAACGATGGCGAGGCGGCCAAGGTCGCACCCGAGAGGGGCCAGCCAATTCATACGCACAGCCATTGAATAATAGAGAAAGAGAGAGGGGCACGCTCGGCCACTTCTTTGCATTGAAAAGAGAGAGAGTTTGGTCTTGAGAGAGAGACCATACGGAGGGGAGGACGATCTTGCATGAAAAAGCTTCAATAGAGAAAGAAATCGGGAGAGAGAGTGAGAAGAGAGGCTCCGTGGCTGTGTGTGTCCCTCTACCGCCGCGACTAATCTAAATTTTGGCAATCCAGTTAGGTATATATTGCATAGAAAAATTAGGGGTCGATCCCCGACACCTAGCAAAAATAATAATTATACTGCATATAAATTTTAGGAGCATTTATAATAATAGGTTGATATAGTTGCATTTGCATTGGATCGGCGGCAAATGGACTTAAGCGAATGATTTTGAGCTTAATTGAATTAAATGGATTCGGTCCAAAAGATCAAATGTTTGTCCAAGCCCATTGAATACATATGTGGCCAAAATTTGCATTATAGGGCAAGTTGGAATAATTGAATTATCGAATTATTAAATAATATACTTGGAAGATAATTCATATTATTCTATGAATATTCAGCTAGAGGAAATAATAATAAATTATCTAAGTTGAGTATAAGAATTAGAAAATAATATATCTTGCCTCTTGCAAGATAACACTGGCTATCTATTTATGTGTTAGGATTCACAATTGAGGGGCCAGCCAATTCATACAGACGGCCATTGAATAATAGAGAAAGAGAGAGAGGCACGCTCGGCCGCTTCTTTGCATTGAAAAGAGAGAGAGAGATTGGTCTTGAGAGAGAGACCGTACCGAGGGGAGGACGATCTTGCATGAAAAAGCTTCAATAGAGAAAGAAATCGGAAGAGAGAGTGAGAAGAGAGGCTCCGTGGCTGAGAGTCACTCTACCGCTGCGACTGCCCCTCTCGGGTGCGACCTTGGCCGCGTCACCATAGTCGTCTGCTACCCATCAAAGCCACCTCCTCCTCGACGATGACGACGATGACCTGCTGATCCGTGGCCGAGAGGGTCATGTACCGCGAGTCCCTGCGCCAACGACGAAGCAACCGAGCCTTGCACGAAGCCGTTGCAACACTGCAACACCCTCGTAGCGTTCAAGCCTTCGCCACCAGCAACGCTCTCAGTTTTCGTCCAATATAGCAAATTAAAGTTTAGCCTGCTTGACACTTTTCCTTGCAGGTTATTTGGCGAAGACAGCCGCTGTTGCAGCAAATCCCATAGCCACGTGCTCTGGGAACAGAGGATTCCGAAAAAGAAAATAAGAAAAGGAAAGTGGTCTCACCCACAAGACACATCGACGTTCATTCACTATCGCGTTCGTCGGGACCTCACAGCCGCTCCTTTGCTGCCACGTTCACATGGATCAACCGAGAGCCACGCCATTGTAAAGCCCCCACCGCGAGCACCACACCGTGAAGCACAACGTCCCATCCACCATCCGTAGTTGAAATTCGGAAGCGGCATCCGTGCAATATTTCAAATTAGGTAATACGTTATTCGATTTAATTTCGATATATTAAGTTACCTAATTTAAATTTATCTTGATCTCAATTATGTCATGTTGATATTTTTATATCCGAAAATATTTTCGAAAACCGCGAATTGGGATATTTTCTTTATTTCATAGCGTGTATATGATTACCAGTCCGATTTCATGCTTAAAATACGACTCGCGATCGCATGGGAAATCGTCAATCCGATCTCCCGCCCAAAATAAGATTCGCGGTTACACGGAAAATTGGTCGTCAATGTGATCTCATGCCCAGGATACGATTGTCAATTTATTTTCCAAATTTAAATGGTTTGATCTTTGTTTTGATTTGATTCGATTCTCTATTAAAAAATCCCAAAAAGATTATATAGGATCAAGGTAAATTTTTCTAGATAGATTGCATGCTAGGTTAGGGTTTCTCTAGTCAAGATAACATTCGGATTTAAATTAGGATTTGGCCTAGTTTAATTCCTAAAATGAATTTGATAATATCTTGCACTAGATATAAATTTTCATTACTTTATAATTTCGAATTTCAATGAAAAATACAAAAAAAAAGTATCATCGGCATGTCATATCGATTAATTGCATCATGCTTGCATCATCACTGTCATGTCATTACTACTTGTTATGTATGCTATGTCGCATTGTCATCTTGCCATGTCATCATGTATGCAATGTCATCACTTGCATGCCATTTAGTGATAGTATGTTAGGTTCATGAAATTGTGTGTCATGCTAGAATAGTTGCATATTAATTTTGCTCATCGTTAGAATTCGTGTCGAGGCTCATTGTGTGCCAGATTAAAGATAGATCATTTAATCGTCATTAGAATTAGGACATTTAGGTAAATTGTATGGCGTATGTCATGTTAGACTAGTAGCATGCATTGCATATAGTTTTATTTCCACTAAATAAGATAAAACTCCACAAATGTATTGAGTGGAATTACATGTTAATTAGAAATCATATTAAGGTTGTTGATGTGATTTCTAACTAACGTTGCAGATGCTTTCGTTGCTCCAAGGTAAGTATGTTCTTCTCGTCCTTGCAATTTATTTATTGCTTTGCTTTATTGGGTGTTTCATTAATAATTGCGCACCCGCACGATCACCTCATATGTTAGTGAATATATTTAAAATCAATCCAAGCTGCCTCCAAACATTTTTTTTTAATAAAAGAGAAAGGCACTGAAATGGCGCTAAAGTAATCTAGCGTAATCAAGTCACTGAATCCATAATCTCTGGTTCATATGAGTAAAGTATAACTCCTGATACTTTACTTGGGTTTTTAATCAACCCACCAAAAAAAGATTAGTGGAGACTCCAAAATGAAAATGATTTGCATGTTAAAAACTTGAAGCTTTAATTCATGAATTGGTACGGGCTTAGGAGAGCCCGAGTTAAGTTTAGGCTTAATAATCTATCAGCCGAACCCTAGGTGGTGCATCTCGAGGGTAGGTCACGACAATGGTCCACGTTAAAAAGGATTTGGATCAATACGACATCGTTTTACTTTTATACTTTATGCTTTAGTTAAAGTTATTGTCACATAAAAGAGAAAGAATATTAAAAAAATGCAACATCCGCATTTTCTGTTAACGAAATGGACGGAGTTGACGAAAAGACTTGATTGTACGAATTTGACAAGTTTTAGGACTTGATTACACTTTTTGAAAATTTAAAGACTCAATCACACTTTCGCAACAAGTTTTAGAACTTCTAGTGCATTTATCCAATAAGCGTAAATACAATTTATATTTTCAGAATATTAGGTAGTGCACGTGCTTCATATCTCACCTACCTCGTGGGATTGAACGATTTCTCGTCATATCAAATTTGCAGGGAGTTTCGAACCTATGGGGAGCGAAACTAACTTCTGTAATATGATAGAATGTATGATATGACATGGGTAATATAGACAGCATCGAGAAAAGGCATGCTTTCAAGTCTCGAATTAAAATGTTGATGATTCTATGATTAAAGAGGCATGTTTTGCCCGAGGGCTCGAAGAAGATATTCTTTCAGATGAGGAAAGAGAGGGCCTGTCAAAATTAGTGGAAGGATGCGCGGTTTAACATTTGAATATTCTAGCAGGGACCGGATTGAGAATGAACTTATTGGCAAAAATGTCCGCACGAAATGACAAATTGAGAAGATTGGTGCTCTAGGTGCAATCTAATGAAACTTTCCTTTTAAGATTTCTATACCCTGCCCTCTTGATTTCTGTATTCCAATTTTTCTCTTGATCCTGCATCTTATCTTTATCTCAGAGGACCCCAAAGACTCGAAAAGGCAATTTTAAGCGTCAAGACATCTATGAGTGTAAAGGAATTTGCAATGAAATGAAAGCTTAGACTTTAAGTAGGAGAGGAGGCACAGAATGGCAATGAAGCTCCAACATGGTCGATCATGTTCGTGGAGAGCTATTTAATTTTAGTTTCGGGGACGGAAATCGAAGGAAGTAGCAAACGATGTAATGAGAAATCCCGACAGCGATGGGGAGGATAGATTCGTTTTATTCGGGTGTTAGGTCCCATTCATAGTAACAGTGGCAAATTCATTGAAAAACCTCCAATTTTAG